TGATATACTGAAATCAAATAAAACCAACAACTATTTCCAAGATGATTTACTTATCTAAGCAGTAGTATTAGTTTAACGAACATGTTACCTCCTTCCTTCATTCCTCGTCTACAGCCAGCCAGCCACAAGTTGCCTTATGTGTGCGTGTGTTGTGCACAGGCTCAAACAACGCTTGTACTCGGGCGTTCATTACATGCTTTTGTTATTCTAAGATGGTAGCCGGCTCGAGACATTTCTATCAAAAAAATAATAATATTCCAGCCTTATCACAAGACATGAAGTCAAGTCTTTTGATTTCAGTCGTGGGAACTAGAATTTGTTCAAACAAATAATACGCAGACCCTCGATATGTTGTTGCACATTTTTGCCTCGGACATTTGGATTAAATTTATTATCAATATTAAATTAAAAATATATATATTTTTTTCTTTCTTTCAAACCTGACCTCTAAAGTTTTGTATGTTGGAAATTAAACATAAATGTTGGGTATATCTCAAAGTTCTCTTTTTTTCGTTGGTTTGCTTTTGTGGGATTTTTTTATTCTTATCACCAGTTGCTTGTGTTATGTTGTTGTTCTTCTACTCTGAAATAACACACTGCAAGACATATAAATTTGCGCCAGTTGTATAATTTTTTTATATATAAAAAAGGAACATTTTGCAATAATTCTAATTTGATATGAAGAATTACCAGGAAAGGTGATAAGTATTGTTTGGAGTTGTTGTTGTTGCTATTTTTTGGTTTAGGTTTTTTATTTTTGTTATCGAATGTTGGAACTATCCACAATGATTTTCTCACGATCCGACACAAATCATAATCAGTCATTTTGAAAATGAAAGCGATTGTAACAAGTTGAAATAATTCTGAGTAAATAGACTTGAAATAGCTTCAAGCAAATCTAGTATTGGACCAAATTCTACGTTAATTGATATTGAAGAATATTGGTTTAGACCACAAGCTTCATTGAATAAAATCCGTTTCGAAATTGAATGACCCTGCTCCGAGATATTGTCTGCCACTTAATCTTTCCATCGGATTTGTGGCCTTCCCCTTCTGTGTGAGCGATCACTTGGCTCGCTTTTATATGCCTTTTGAACTGGGGCATCCTCATTCATTCTCACAACATGACCTAGCCAAAGTAGTCGCTGCAGCTCGATACGGGAATATATTGTATAGCTCATGGTTCATTCGACGGCGCTATTCACCGTCGGCGCAGATCCGTCATTGATCTTTTGGAGAATTTTTCTCTCGAACACTCCAGAGCTGCCTCATTCGCTTGGGCAAGTACCCATGCTTCAGATCCATACAACGGGTAGTATCAGCGTCTTCTAGAGTGTGAGTTTGGTCTGGCAATAGGTGGCCTTGGTTTTTGAATTGCTTACTCATGCCATAGTAGCATCTGTTGGCCAACACTATTCTCCTCTGAATTTCAAATTTGCTTGCACAAGTACCCATGCTTCAGATCCATACAACAGCACGGGTAGTATCAGCGTATTGTAGAGTGTGAGTTTGGTCTGGCGAGATGTGCCCTTGTTTTGAATTGCTTACTCAGACCATAGAATCATCTGTTGGCCAACACAATTCTACTTCTAATCTAAAAACTGAAGTTATTTATTTATGGCAGTACCGACTATATAAAATCTTTGACTACCTCGAAGCTGTAGTTTTCCACAGTTAGTCCGAGTACACTTGCGCGTTGATACTATCAACTTGGCTTTCTCGCAATTTACTTGTACTGTCAATCCCATTTTAGCCGACTCCTTCTGAATTCGTTCAAAGGTGGCTGTTACCGCTCGCAATGTTCGACCCATTATGCCGATGTCGTCGATGAGAAATATATGCTGTTTGGGGTACCGAGTGCCATTTCTGCACACCTTTGCCTCTTGTATGACCTATTCCGGCAGGATGTTAAAAAGATCACAAGACAAAATGTTACCTTGTCTGAAACTTCGTCTGGTCTATGGTGGATTAGTCAGGTCAGAAGCCGCATGGTATGGTCCAATAATGTCATTGATCATTGGCTTCGGTCGTTCACACAGAACGTTGGATAGCAATTTATATGCGATGGGGAGGAGACTAATTCTTCTATAGTTGGCACATGTCTTGTCTCATTTTTTTGTGTAGGGGACACAGGGTGCTGAGGTTCAAATCATTTGGCATGTATTTCTCTAGCCAAATTGTACTGATCAGCTGGTGCATGCTCCTGACCAACATCTGACCACCAGTCTAGAACAGTTTGGCTGGTAACCCATTGGCACTTGCTGCTTTATTATTCCTCAGCCGATTAATTGTTATTCTGACCTCATCTTGACTAGATGGTATACACCCTACACCGTCACCTCTTATTGGTTCTGGGGTATCTTCTTCACCGCCACTATTTGATAACATTCAAAATGCTCCTTCCAGATATTTGAAAAAATCATCACTGATAACATTAGTTCTCTTTTCTATTCTATGTACTATTCGTACACATAAATTCGAGTTTCCAAAGCTGTCTCCATAGCTCAATACTACACATCAACTAATTTAAATTTCAAATCTCAGGATTCAACCAAATCCAAGTTGTTCCTAATTTAGAACCATTTAGTACTTTCCATACTTATAAGTACAAATTTCTAAAACTACATCAACCCAACGCTCTAACAGTAATCTTAATTCCACCAAAGTTTAAATGGTACCAAATTTAGTACTTATCGTACTCATAAGTACAAATGTCCAAATTTACCTCAATCCTGCTTTCAAATAGTAATCGTACTGCTTTACGTACCCATGAGTACGAATTTCCAAAACTACCTCAGTCATGCGCTACAATAATAACCTTAAGTCAACATTTAAAGATTCCAGCTCTATCCGTTCACCAATATCCAAATTTTCGTAGACGTAAGTACGAGTTTCCAAAACGTCCTCAATTCCACACTGCAACAGCCCTACCCGTTCACATATATACAAATTGTACCATATAGTACTTTTCGTACATATGAGTTCGAATTTCTAACACTGTCTCAATCCTGTGCTATAACAGTAATTTTATTTTCAAATAAAAGTTTTCCATTTCTAAGCTTTCACTCAAATCTGAAGTGTACTAAACTTGGTATCATTTAGTGCACTCAATTGCGCATTTTCAAAACTAGCTCCATATCTCATCCTGCACTCAAACATTAATTTTACTTCTAAATTTTTGGGATTCCCGCTCCCTACACTCCAACTGTAATTTAATTGAACATTTCAGAATCTCAGCCCAGCACAAAAACAATTTGTAAACTATTTGGTACCATTTAGTCCTTTTTGTTTATATAATTAAAAATTTCCTAAACTATGTCTATCCTACACTAACATTATGGAGTCCAGCTCTATCCGTTCACACATAATGACGTTGAACCAAATATAGTACACATAAGTACTATACTTCCATATCTCAATTCCATAATCCAACATCAACCTTTATTCCAAATTCAAGGTTTCCAGCTCTCTCCGTTTACCCAAATCAAAATTGTACCAAATCTAGTGCCGTTTAGTACTTTTCGTACACAAATATAAGAATTTCCAAAGATGTCTCTATAGCTCAATCTTCAACAGTACTCTTAATTCCAAATTTCAGGTTTTCAGCTCTATCCTTTGAAGCAAATTCCAAATTTTACTAAATTTAGTACCATATAGTACCTTTCGTACCAATAAGTACGAATTTCCAAACTACCTCAATTCTATACTCCAACAGTCATTTTAATTCCCAATTTGAAGACTCCAGCTCTATCTGTTCACATAAATTCAACATGCACCAAATTTAGTACCGTTTAGTGTTTTTCGTACACATAAGTACGATTTTTTTAAGCTACCTGTACTCCAATAGTAGTCCTAATTCTTCTTTTGAGTATTCCATCTCTATACACTCAACTAAATGCCAATAATAAATAATTTGGAGTAGTTCAAATTCAATTAATTTTTTTTAATGTACGTATGTATGTTAAATTTTTTTTTATATTTGTGATACAAATTATTTAGATAAAAACACAACTCATTTTTATATATAATAATTTTCCATTCCATTCCTACTGGAGTAGTCATAATCCAATTAATCAAATTTTTTAATCATAATCTATAATAATCAAAAACTTTTTTTTTGTAATTTAATCGGTATAGTATTCTTTAGTAGTTCAATATCCCTCCCTTTTACATTTAAGCCGCTTAATACGATAAATTTTATATTTAATTGTGAAAGGTAGCTTACAGCCTTAAGGTCGAAAGACTGGGCACTATGAAATATATAAATAAATAAAATAAATGCAAATAGTACCAAATTTAGGACAATTTTGTACTTTTTATACACATAAGTACGAATTTCTTAAACCTTTTTCATACATCAACACCACTTCCCAACTTGTATTCCTTATAAAATTTCAAAATTCTAGTTTTATATGTGCAATATATATACAATTAGAACTAAATTTAGTAAATTTTAGTACTTTTAGTACACTTACAGGTCGAATTTCTAAAAACCCTTTTGCACATCTTTCTAACATTCCATCAGTGACCCAAATTCCAGAATTCTAGCTGTTCCCGTTCGTCTAATACATATTTGGTACATTTTAGTACTTTTCGTACCCTTCTAGTTCGAATTTCCAAAAACCCTGTTTTATCTCATTTCATCTTTATTTTTATGAGATTTTCTCGAATATTACTTGATATCATTAATGTAAATAAAATAATCAATAATTTTTATTTTATTACCTTCTTATTTGTGACATCTACTTTGCGTCTCTATTATAGTTTCCACTTAATCTGTCTATTGCTACTACAAAATTTATACAACCGTTAAACAGCTGATCAAAATAGTTTCATTCATATTTCCGTGTTATTGTGTTGTTAGTGGTGCTGTTATTGCTGTTGTTATTCGTGTAGTAGTAGAGTTGGGGCACACGTTCTTGGTGTTGGTTTGTTTTCGTTTCATTCGGTTTAGGGTTTACATTTTTCAAAATTTTCAATTACCAATCGAACCAACCATCATGTTAATACCAAGAATATTGAATAGGGCCACAAACACATTTCTACAAAGTGGATTGGCCGCGAAGAAGACACCATTTGTACCACTCTACAAGAAATTCTACACCACAAAGGCTGAGGAAACTGATGCGGAGACAGCAACAATAACAATTGGTGATGTAACCAAGAACATTAAACCACCCAAGAATCCAGAATTGGTGCCTCAAAAATATAGTGAGTTTGTGGAAAAAATAAAGTAATTTCCAAGTTTTTATTAAATGTGTTATTCGATTTTCAGTCCAATATGCCGAAGATGGTACCATGGAACTTACCCAGTCAGCTTTACATCATTTACGTTGGATGCTGCAAAAAGATACACTGAAACAAGATATGTTTCTTTTGGGTCAACCAGGTGCCCTGAGGCGACAATTGGCCATGCAGTTTTTGGAATTGACCCAACGTGAATTGGAATATATTGCATTGAGTCGTGACACCACAGAAAGTGATTTGAAACAGAGAAGAGAAATCAAGAATAAGGCTGCCATTTATTATGATCAGGTGGGTGTCTAGTGTCAGTACTTGCAAGTGGACTTTGAACCCAATGTTTAATTAATCAATTCTTTTTATTTTCAACAGTGTGCTGTGCGTGCTGCCATCAATGGCCGTGTCTTAATTTTGGACGGTGTGGAACATGCCGAACGTAATGTATTGCCAATTTTGAATAATTTGCTGGAAAATCGTGAAATGCATTTGGAAAATGGTAAATTTTTAATGGCTCCCGAACGTTATGACAAGCTTTTGGAGGTGAGTTTAATGAAGGTGACTTTCTTAGTTGGAGGTTTATTAACGTTTTTTTCTTTCAGACCTACTCCAAAGAGGAATTGGATTCATGGGGCTTATTGAGAGTCTCGGAAGATTTCCGTGTCGTTGCCTTGGGTTGCCCCACACAAAAATATAAGGGCACTCCTTTGGATCCCCCTCTAAGATCACGTTTCCAGTCTCGTAATGTTTCACATTTTTCATTTGAGGTAAGTTTATAAAGCAGGGATGCTTAAAAATTCTTAAAAAATTATGAATTGACTTAACAAAGAGATCATAGAGTTCTCGAGCATGAGCAGCACTGGTATAGAGTGTTGTATGAGGTTTTTGGTCAGGGGGGACTCTGAAAATCTCAAAAAAATCTTAGTGACCTATTGTGATCACCTCTTCTCACACCCAATTCGGAAATCTGTTAATTGGTACAATATGGCCCCAACAGTCCGCAAGAAAACATTGGAAAACATGGTTAACGGTTTGAGTGAATTAGAACAAATATAGAGGTAGGTTAGCAAAACTTCATGGTTTGCTGAACTATTTTGGTCCACAAATGAGGCTGTGAATATTGTCAAACATTTAGTAATGTATCCCGATGAAAACATGTCCGAATTAGTGGATTTCGACGAATACTAACCTGAAGCCGAAGAACAAACACAGGACAAACAGGTTCACTCATTGAGGGAACTCTGTGATCTCTCTCCTTAAGTCGTTCCATATGGTAGATTCTCAATAACTATGCCGCAATGAGTTACATGCTCTTCGTAAGTGGTTTAGGTGTTTCCGGACAAATGTCCCATGAAGTTTTGCTGAATTACCTCTGTTCCACACATGAGGTTGTGAATATTCACAAACAATTAGTAAAATATCCCGATGAAAACATGTCCGAATTGGTGGGTAATGTTTGGATTTCGATAAATACTAACCTGAAGCCGTGGAACAAACACAGGCAAATATGGTTTACCAACTGATTGCGAGTTGTATGCTATTCGTAAGAAAAAGAAAATGCAACCGACAGTGAATCGGAAGTGTGGTTTAGGTGTTTTCGGACCAAGTATGCTAAAGTAAAGATGGGATTTGACATTCTTGGGGGGATGCGCATCGTTGCCCAATATCATATGGGCAATGATGTGTATGTATCATCCATATAAAGGCCCCACCTAATTTTAGATCGTTTCCTCGACAGAGGGATTTATGACACTACAATTTATCTACTTATTTCTTATTTATTTCCTTTCACTTCAGGAAATGCTTATCGACTTGAGATCCAAGGCTCCCAATGTACCTGTGGAAAATCTAAAATCCCTGCTATCATTTGGTTTGGCCATACAATCAGCTGATTCTGCTGCTAATCTACCCGATTTCCCATTGGACAATGTACATTTGGTGGCTAAAATGATGGTGAGTGGAAATACCCACATTCGATTTAATAAAAAAGATAAAATTTAATTTTCTTTACCTTTACAGAATTCCAATCCAAATTTGACCACATATGATTCTCTCAACCGTCTCTACCCCTATCGTTCCGCATTGAAAAAAGAACAACAAGATCGTATTAAAAATTTGCTGAAATCATTTAAAATCGATACAATGGCAACCAAGGCTGTTGGTGAAATTACCAACAAAAAGTTGGAGAATTCTCAAAATATGGTTGAATTCCATATTGATGGTGTTAAGGTGAACGTTCCCGGTGGTAGCCATGTTACGTTGACACAAAAACAAAAAGATTTTGTTGATTTAGAACATCAACGTAATATTTTGGCACAAATGATACAGGCCATTGCTGTGAGTGATATTTGTCTATTGGGTCCAAAAGGTGTTGGTAAAAATACCTTGGCTCAACATTTAATGCATCGTTTGCAACAATCTTTGGAGCCAATGGTTTTGTATGAGGATATGACTTCGCGGGATTTGATCCAGCAACGTATTACCACACAGGAAGGTGACACGGTGTGGAGAGATTCACCACTTGTAAGGGCTGCTAAAATGGGTTCTGTTGCACTCTTGAATGGTATCAATCGTGTCCACAAGAGTACCATGACAGTGTTGCAACGTCTCATACATGATCGGGAATTGCAATTGTGTGATGGTACCACACTTTTGGGTGGAGAACGTTATGAATCGCTGCTGCAACAAGGTTTTACAAAATTGCAATTGGCCGAGAAGGGTATTCTAAAAATTCACGACAGTTTTAGAATTATTGCCCTGGCTGAACCACCAAATCCAAATTCTCCCTCCCAAAATTGGTTGACACCCGAAATGATGAGTTTGTTTTTGTTCTTGGAAGTACGTCCCTTGCAACAATCCGAGGAATTTACAATTATGAAGAAATTATATGGCAACATTGATGATAGCATCCATAAGGTCATTGATTTATCTCACACCCTAAGAGATTCCACAGATGCTACTTTGCAAAACTTGGCCGGAACATTGTCCACTAGACAATTATTGAAAATTGCCCGACGCATGTCTTCCTACCCCACGGATGTTCATGAAATTATACAAAATACTTTCCTTACCAAATTTATGCCTGCCCTACCAAGAGCTGCATTGGAGAATGCCATGAGACAGGTGGGCATTGAACCAGATACCTCAAGTCATGGTGGCAAACGTAAGATAACCGTGGAGAATGGTGTCCTTCGGATTGGTGCAACTGAAATGAAATTGGAGCAGGCCACCGAGGAATCCAAGGTGCCTAGTACATTGTTCTATGAAATGCCTCAGCATGTGGCCTTATTGGAACGTCTTCTCCAAGATTTCTTAATTGGTGATCATTTGCTGTTGGTGGGAAATCAAGGTGTGGGCAAGAATAAGTTGATTGACAAACTTCTGCAGTTGATGAACAAGTCACGTGAATATTTGCAGTTGCATCGCGATACCACGGTCCATAGTTTAACGGTACAGTCCACATTGCGTGATGGTCAAGTAGTTTATGAAGACAGTCCTTTGGTAAAGGCAGTGAAATCCGGTCACATCTTGGTCATCGATGAGGCTGACAAGGCTCCCGTAAATGTCACCTGTATTTTGCGCACACTCGTTGAAAGTGGTGAAATGATGTTGTCCGATGGCCGTAAAATTGTTGCTCCCGGTGATAAGGCAGCTGCTTTGGAAGAGAATCCAGCCCAGGAAATAATTGAAACCCATCCCAACTTCCGTTGCATTGTTTTGGCCAATCGTCCCGGTTTCCCATTCTTGGGTAATGATTTCTTTGCCTCATTGGGTGATGTTTTCAGTTGTCATGCTGTTGATAATCCCACACCCGATTCGGAAATCTTTTTATTGGCCCAATATGGTCCCTCTGTGCCAAAGAAGACCTTGGCCACATTGGTTAATGCTTTTGGTGAATTGCGACAAATGGCCGATGAAGGTTTACTGAACTACCCCTACTCCACTCGAGAGGTTGTGAATATTGTCAAACATTTAGAAAAGTATCCCGATGAAAATATGTCCGAATTGGTGGGTAATGTTTTGGATTTTGATAAATACCAACCCGAAGCCTTGGAACAGGTTACCACTGTTTTGGCCAAGCATGGTTTACCCATTGAGGCCTATGCCCGCAATGAGTTGTATGCTCTTCGTAAGAAGAAGGAAATGCAACTGACAGTGAATCGGAAAAGTGGTTTAGGTGTTTCGGGGCCCAAATATGGCAAAGTTGATCCCAAAAATGATCCCCATGTAGGTGGTAATACCTGGGCTGGTGGTAGTGGTGGTCGTGACACCGCCGGTCTTGGTGGTAAAGGTGGTCCCTTTCGTTTAGATTCGGGTCATAAGGTTCATCAACTTTCCGATGAAGAGAAAGATGACATCCCCGAAGAAGTTAAGAAGGCTGCCCGTGAAATGAATCGTAAATTTTACGAAGAAAAGCTAAAGGAAATTCGCATGTCGGCTCATGATCATCAATTGTATGCCCAATTTAGTGATCCCATACGCAAGCAGGTACAACAGCTTAAGGCCATATTGGATGCTATGCAAACCAAGAGTAAGGAGAGGCAATGGCAAAAATATCAAACCCATGGCGAGTTGGATGATACCCGTCTTATTGAAGGTATCACTGGGGAGAAGAATATCTATAGACGTCGTGCTGAAGCCAATCCCTGGGCTGATCACGTCCAAGAGAAACCAAATCGTTTGAAATTGGTTGTAGATGTGTCCGGATCCATGTATCGTTTCAATGGTTACGATGGTCGTTTGGATCGTGAACTGGAAGCTGTTGTTATGGTTATGGAGGCGTTGGAAGGTTTCGAAAAGAAGGTGGTCTATGACATTGTGGGTCATAGTGGAGAGGGCTATGAAATTCCATTTGTTACCAAGAATAGTCCACCACGCACAGATAAGGAACGTTTCGAAACGATTCGAATGATGCATGCTCATTCACAATTCTGCTGGTCAGGTGATAGTACTGTGAAGGCTGCCAAAGAGGCTGTGAACACATTGGCTGAAGAGGATTATGATAATTCGATTGTGGTAGTGTTGAGTGATGCTAATTTGTCACGTTACGGTATCCAGCCAAAGGATTTCGCCAAGGCCCTCATGAATGGCGAACCTAAGGTTAAGGGTCATGTGATATTTATTGGCAGTTTGGCTGAGGAGGCTGATATGTAAGTAAACAAATTTTCGATTTAATTTTAATTTTTTTTTTAATTATTCAAGTTTTGAGAATAAATTATTTAAATTGTTTAGATTTAGATTCCAGATTTAAATGGCAAATTTAATGTATTTTTAAAAATAATTTTTAAAATGTATTTTAAAACACTTTTTTAATTTAATTTCCCCTTTTCTCTTTTTACAGCATTAATTCCCAAATGCCAGCCGGCCATAGCTACGTCTGCATGGACGTATCAACATTACCGCAAATTTTGAAACAAATTTTCACATCATCTTTATTGTGATAGATTGTGTACCTACCTATCTACCTATCAAATGTTAGCTGTTAAGACGTAAAGAAACCGAACCTAGTGGAATTAGAAAAATTTTACAAAACTAAATAAAATGTATATTTTTAAAAAAAGAAAGAAATGTTAAAAATGTGTAAAATGTTGTTATTTATATCTATTTGTTTAATATAAACAAACAATTGTGTGTGTCTATTTTTATATATTTAGAAACGAAACAAAGATAATATAAAAATTGTATAGACTATAAACCACCCGTAATGCATTTATTTTATTTACCTCTACAACAATTTATACACATGATGATAATGAAAACGACAAAAATAAATTTACAAGTACAAAAAAACACAATTTTTTCAATTGGTTTTAATTTAATATGTTTTAATTAAAAATAGACTTATAATAAAAAAATGTTTATTAAAAGACTTTTAGAAGTAGGTGTTTGTGACAGCTTATGACATATGTAATATTTATTTCACGTGACATGGTAAAAATATCAAGATCGTGTAATTTCTAAATATTTCTTACTTACTATAGAGATTCACCATTCACCATGTTGGGTATAAATGTTCTGAACGTAAAACCAAGGAGGGGTTCAATTAGGAATTCAAAATGTAAATTTATCGAATAGGAAATTTACAAGTTATTGGCCATGAAATAGTCTCTAGAAGGTGTGACAATAGCTTCTGATTGGTACCCGCCAACAAAGTGGAATAGAAAATTTACATTTCGATATCGACCAACATGAAGATGCTTCAAATAATCTGCGCAATAAAATCTGAAACTTGTGCAAAAACGCCAGAAATTTAGTTTAACACAGGCTGCCCATTTCGTGTAAATTGCATTTTTTACATTCTGCAAAAAACAAGTCGATATTTAAATATCTTTGAACTTTCTCGTAACGCCAATTTTCTCTTATTTAAAATAAGTTTGTATATACATTGACAAAGTAATGGATTTGTTCCAAAGCAACATTAGGTCTAAAACCAATATTTCGATGAGGCACAAAGCGAAGTCCACATGTATACACTCATTCTGCATAAGGCGGAATATACAAAAACATGGCCGATTTACAACCGGATACCGGTCGTTCTAGACTCAATTCAATATGTTATGTATAGATAGTGCCTACTTTGTTTATATTTCACAAAAAAAATAGTCAATATTTCAAATATCTTCGAACTTCCACATTTTGCTAATTTTCTCTTATATAACAGAAGTTTATATATACTTTGTCAATATGGAATAAAACTGTAAAATTCCCTCTAACCATGTGTGCAAATTTTATGAAAATCGGTTAAGTCGTTGCTGAGTTATTTGCAATTAAAGTTGATGATCTTCCAAAATATAGCAACTGTTCGGTGCTGTTCGCCTATTACCTGAAAACGAAAAACCACACAAAAATTAACTTGTAAAAATGGTAATAGCTACAGTACATACACGGTACAGTTGTGTTACATTCAATTTGCGCCTAAATTAAGTCACCTACTGTACACACACAGTACAGTTATACAGTACACACATATTGGGGGTTCGCCTAAAAGTATGCTACAATTTACCTTTATAGACCAGCAGCAGCAAAAAAATTGCCATTTTTAAAGATGCAATTTTGGTGTGTTTTTCATTTTCAGCGAATAGGCGAACAGAACCGAACAGTAGCTATATTTTGCCAGATCGTCAACTTCAAATGCAAATAACTCAGCAACGACTTAACCGATTTTCATAAATTTTGCACACATGGTTAGAGGGAAATCTAAAGTTTTATTCCATTTTGACAAAATGTATATAAACTTATGTTATATAAGGGAAAATGAGCAAAATGTGGAAGATAGAAGATATAAAAAATTTCGACTATTTTTTTGTGAAATATAAACAAAGTAGACACTATCTATACATAACGTATTGAATTGAGTCCAGAACGACCGGTATTCGGTTGTAAATCGGCCATGTTTTTGTACATGCCGCCTTATGCAGAATGAGTGTATCCATGTAGACTATGCTTTGTGCCTCATCGAAACATTGGTTTTAGACCTAATGTCGCTTTGGACCAAATCTATTTCGGATAATTTGTAGTCGATTTACAAAATGTCCGTACGTCCGTCTGTCTGTTGTTGTTGTACCAACCCTATTGCTTTTACACAATGGGCTGCGGTGACAGACGTTGGCCGAAAAAAATTCGGGTCGTTTCGGATCGTAGACCCCTCTGTCGTAGAAACGCCGTCTGTCTGTGTGTCTGGCTGGCTGGTGCGCACGATAACTCTCGAAGGGAGTACCGGATTTCATCCAAACTTTGCACATCGTAATATTTCTTTCAAACTAAGTTCAAGTACCGTGATGGGGAATATCGGTTAACTCCGTATTGTACATCCCACACAAAATTGTCAAAAATTATATAAAAATTATTTTTGTAATATCATCCGAACGGGCTATCATCCTATTTGAACCAAATTTTGCACAATCTATTATTATACCCATTTTTCCAGTCCTTTTGGTACCTCCCCCACAAAAAGTTATTATTTTACTAACCTGTAAATTTAATTTGAAGCAAAATGAATAAACGATCTAATTTTTTGTCTTGCACATCCAAATATTTAACCAAAACTACTACTTTAAATTCGAAGATGGGATCTACAGGGCAACTTCTTCTGGTACCGCTCCACAAATGTTATGGCGTAGTCATTTAAACGCCGCTGTCTACCCAATAGAAGCAGCTCAATATTTAGCAGAACCCAAATAGAACATTGACTACGTGCAAAATTATGTTCCACCGAACAAAGGTGAGATCCTTGGCGCACCAAAAAAAAGAATATATGGGGGCTAAAGTTAACTCTCTATAATGCGAACATCCAAAACAGTGAACTTTCGATAATGTGAACTGGTACCGCTCCACAAATGATATATTTTTTAATAAAAATATATACCTCATATAAAGGGAAATATAATTCCGTAGACTTCCGCAAACCATGCTGAAATCCTCTACACAAAAAAATATTCAAATAGATTTAACAAAATATATATATTTTTATTTGGTTTTTAATTTTTTTCTTTTTTCTTACATGGTATACATTTTTTAAGTCTTTTATTTACAATATTTTGGTTAAAATTATAGCAATAATAATAATATATTATATGTATATAAATATTTCAATATTATAATATTTTTTTCTTAACTTAATTAAAATGTTTTTTTATTTAAAGCAAGACAAAGAACTAACAAATTATGACAAAAATTAATTATAATAACATCGACTGTTGACTAACTTGTTTACATATACGCTGATTTTTATTATCTTCAGTTATGGTTTAACATACTGTTATTACTGTCATATAACATAGAACTTAAAGTCTATTTACTGAAGACAATACAAACTAAGCGCTGAAATAATTCGTAATGTTTGTGTGTGTATTCAGATTCTCTTCGCTAGAGGTATTCTAACTACAAGCCCCTCTGTCTATCTATAGAAGATCTGTATGATTTATTCTGCCTATCAATGATCTGTGGGGGATCTTCTGTGACTATAAAGGACCTGCAGGAGTTATTGTTTGTTCAAAGAAAACCCCGTTGGAGCTATTCAGTCTCTAAAAGAATTGTAGAATGCCTTTTGTCTCCAGAAGATCTGTAGAAGGTATTCTGTATCTAAAAGAACTGTAGAATGATCCATAAAATACATGTGGAAATGCCTGCCTCTAAGAGGTTGTCTGTCATTACGAGTACGAGTTATTTCTTTTATCTTTTGAAGAACTGCAAGAGGTCTTCTGACTATGGTCTTCTACTCTTTTAGGAAGGCCAACCCTAGTGGTCCTGTATAAGAAATCCTTCAGTTTTTTTTATATAAAAATCCTTTTTTCTTCTATAACAAGACCTTCGGGTCCTTTATAAGGATACCTATGCATAAAATGTATGTATATCCTTCCTTTCAGAAACTGTAATATCGAATTACAGCCAACTGTGATTTACCCAAAACTTTCAAATGAAAAATTAAATAGGTTCCAAACACATTCAACGCCCTGCCATGTTGTTATTGTTCAGAGACGTTGGATTAAATCTGCTCTTGGCTGTCGTAACCAATTGGAAATCATTGAATTTTTGTTATGACAAAGTTATTAGGGCAGTTTCTTTGGGTGGAAGCTGCCCAATATTTAAGAGAACCCAAATAGAGCAGACCTTTCTGATGACAGATATACCTAACTGTTGATCAACACTGATCATGTGCAAAATTATATATTCACCGAACAAAGGTGAGATTCTTGGTGCACCATTTACCTCAAAATATCAGAGGGAGTGGACTAGTGGGTCCCATCTTCAAACTTGATATAGGCTTGGTAAATATACTAGGTTGTACAAAGTTTGGTTGATATTGAACGTATAAATATTGAAAATTGTGAGCCTTTGTGGGCGATTTCGGGTCCGATTTCGGACTGATCTAGGCTTGATAAAGATAATACGTTGTACAAAGTTTGGTTCAAATCGGTAGTTCTTTCGCATGATATTATAAAATTAATTTTTTGACCATTTTGTGGGACAGGTACCAGAAGGAGTTGGCCGATATTCCCCATCATAGAACTTGAACTAAGTTTGGAAGAAATATTCAGCCTTATTCTAGATGTCAATTCCATGTGAATTTACTCGCTCTTTCCCTTCGCCTTATTCTGAACAACATTTTCCAGTGAATTTTTTCGCATTCTCGCTTTCGCCTTATTCTGAATGAAGTTCGAAAGCGAAAAAATCCGCTTTGGCGAAAAATTAGGTATTCTGAATTACAGATGAGATGAAATTTTGTGCGAAATTTTTCGCTAATAAATTTAAGGGGAGTTGACTACAAAAACATAAGTAATAACTATTTTTATGAAAAATATTTACACAATACTTATTCTATGACGATTTAGAATATTATAAATGATAGTAAGCAAATTTTTAACTGGAAAACAGCCAATAAAATGCCATTGGAAATCCTATTGATAACGATGCATGCTGAACCAAGTATTGCCAAAGAATGTATGAAG